TAAAAGGATAAAATATAAAGCATTTGCCGTTGATCAATCCCTTTTTGGGATGCGGCACGCATTCTACTTCCATTTGTACATTCGTAGTGGCGTTTGAATGCGATGTGGCCTATACAATGACTTGCGGGGGCCAGCCGATGTACAAGTCAGTGTTTTTATCCTCCCAGACAAGTCTGGTACCAATTAACCGACCCCGGAGGGATGGAAGGCTTGGTTGGCCCGGGCGACTCACGACCCAGGATTTGATCCCGGACCGCTCGCGTGGTAAGCGTGCCACTTGCCACTACACCACTTCCGCCCCACAAAAAGATAAAAATAAAAAAATTCCCCCCCCTCTCCTCAAGGCCATGAGCGCCTAATTCTTTCCTTCAACAGAATCATTGCACAATGTTTTTAGATGGTGGTGCTGTCGTTACCTTCGTTACGGATCCTTCATCAGTCACCGCTTCTGCCTCATTCGGTGGAAATCGAAGACGCGTAGGTTTTCTCATCTTATCGTCTTCATCATGATACAGGAAGCAAGCTGTTTACCTATATCCAGCTATTGCTTCATTTTGTGTTTTTATTAGAATGGAATGGTTGCTTGGGCCTTTCCGAAATTGTGCGGGGTATGGTGTTTGATGGTATTTCTCCATATGATGCCCTGATAATGATTGAATTTAGGATATGTCAAAAGATGTCGTTTTCCGAGCACGGCCTTGGCATTTATATGGCCAGTCCATCGGAGGTACGTTTGATGATTAGTATTGGGCGAAATGGTTCACCTTTACTAGCATTTTACCACTTTGATTATTGGTTTTTAGGTCGAAAAGTATACGATATGTGCAGAACTTGCTGAACAAGCGGCCGAATCCCTTGGCGATCTCTACGTTGCATGTGATCTTCCAGAACCACCGCGTAACAACAGCTTCCTTAAGGTAATTGCATCCCTTTCATTTTTTCTGTAGATGTCTCAAGTTTGATACCTTAGACTAAGGTAGGCAGTTTTCATATTTCGCGAGCAACACCCCCAGATCGCATTTGTGGGGCACAGCGATCGATAATGGATAATGCAATTGTGAATGCCTAGTTGACTAAAATGAAAAAAGAAGCAAAGAAAACCGCCGATGAAGCCTTAAACAAGGAAAACCCTTCAAATAAGGAAGGGGCGGGGCCAGACGAGTTGTGCAAACTTGCTCCACTGCGCAACCCGCGCGCATTCAAATAAGCCGTGGTCCAAGTCGCGTGTCAAGGGATATGCGCGCCGTAGCG